TATTAAATAAAATAGAAAATTACAGAACAAACTACTGTATTTCCATGATGTAATTTTCACTACAATATTGTTTCGTATGGTCCAGAGGACCACACTCATCAGGTGAAACCAATTRCATGACCGTTAAAATCTAAAGGTTTACATTAAGTACAAGTTTGCAAATGACGCTAAAGTATAAAATTACAGATTCGTGATGTTATAGATACAAGAGCGTGACGGATTAAATGTTTATCCGTTGTAAAATCTTAAGAGGTATTTACGTCTATGTCTACATGTAGATACAAGTTCGTTACGCTTATTTAAGGTTGCTTCATGTCTATGGCAAATTATTATATATTTCTCACTTATACATCTATGTCTACATGTAGATACAAGTTCGTTACGCTTATTTAAGGTTGCTTCATGTCTATGGCAAATTATTATATATTTCTCACTTATACATAAATTACAGCGTTTGCTTAAAAGATTATATGATTTTGATTTCGTTAAAATTGACCATTTAATTGTGAATTCGAGTGAATTCGATATTATTGTCCTTTAAGCTCCAAATATATTTAGAAAGTTCCGTGGCATTTTTCTTTTCGTTTCTAAATATTCACTTCATATATATATATTCATTTATCAAGGCAACCAACAGCATTAGCAAATAAACCAAGAGACCCAAGTAGCTGCTCTGTGTTTCTCATCTCTTGATGCAATGAGCACAGCTGTATGCTGGACAGCTCTTCGTCCAAAAGAAAACTCAAATCATCTCTCAAACCCTTCCAACCACAATATTCAGATTAAAATTAAAGTTATTAAATAATATGGAAAATCAATGGAAATAGTATTACATGTCAAACAAATAAAATTGTTATTCATCCTCATATTGTATATGTTATATTTTCAGTTATTAATTTAAAACAGCCCTTTAAAATCAAATCAATATAAAGTCTTTTAGGACTGATAGCAAATTCATACATGAAAGACTTACTTTCCAATATTAGCTTTTGATTGCAAGCATTCCAAACAGGTTTCTTGAAATCTTCCACATGATAAATGCTTCTGGCAAGCCTATATTAACAATATGTATGTTGTAGTATAAGATGCATGTCACTGGTACAACATGCATATTACGGAATATTCAAAATAATATACAATAATTTAATTATTTTATTGTGAATTGTTTATTATGTTTAAACATAATAATGAAGAATTCACAATGATTGCCATGAATAGAAATTAATAGATTAATGGCAAGAACAAAGCTTAAACAATTGTGCAAAATAGCTATTATAACTTATTAACAAATATTACTTTCATTACCCGTACTGCTCTGCAGAACATGCAAAATTCAACATCAAGCCCTTTACCGCCAAGGATAAAATCTTCATTATCTCCCCTCACTATCAACAACAGTAGAGCTTTAAGGTCAACAGTAACTAGAGGAAAAAATGTTGAAAATATGCTCTAATAAGTATGGATCAGGCTCCCAAGCATTTACCTTAATGTTTGTGCAATGCCATACCTACAAATTTTATTTGATATACTATTCCATCAACTTTGATGCCAGTTGTTTTGATGATCTTCTTTTCATCATTCATTTTGCTAATTAATGCCTTGAGGTTTGTCCTGCGTGAAATTTAAAGATAAAGTTATATAATGTAACTTTGCACAATAACCAGGTCAATTTTAGGGTCGAAATGATATTTTTACTCAAATAAAAATGAATATAGAAGATTGCAATACAGCCATAACAATTAATGGTTGCTCCTTAATATAATATATATGATAGGAAGAACATAGAGTGCTCGACATGGTGATCGTTGAACGAATATAAATTATAAATATAATAACTAAGAGATGACTTCAAATGCAGATAGCTATCTGCGTTTGAAGTCATCTCTTAGTTATCATATTTATATTCACCAAAACACAAAAATTCTGCTCCCTAATATATATATGGGACATATATATATCCTTTATTATAGCCTTTGCTCTACCGTCCCACGGGAGAGAATACAAAGAATATATATATATATTATTAGGGAGCAGAATTCTTGTGTTTTAGTGTTTATATTTATTAATATATATGATGCACAACACCATTCTGTAATACACCTAGGAATTTAAAACCCTATATATGTAAATCCTTTGCATTTAGCATCAAACAACGGAGACATAAGGCAGAATGCAAATGCAATAAAAAGAGCAAGTCCAATAATTTTTACCTGTCTTCTTTACAGTTGGCTATTGCAAGTGGATATACTGAGTCATAGCTCTCAGAGCTAACATCCACTGGTACCAATCCAACAGAAACTTGTTCTTTACCTATATGATATATTTTTAAGCATTAATTTTTTGTTTGTTTGTTGTTTGCTATTAACATCATCATGGTGCTAGTTAGCAGTAAATGCATAGTTTAGCCCGTGATCAACATTTAAATATATTGTGTTGTTGATTTTTAATACATCATATTAATTAATATTATACAATTCCTTTGCAATTATGTAAGAAAAAGCTATATAATATATTTACCAAAAAGAGGTCTACCATCTAGTTTTATATTGAAGACAACATCTGTACTTGTTTTGTTCATCTGGTGTAGTCTGGCCTCTCTTAAGGCCCAAACAAGCACACTTGGAAGGACAGTTCCATACCCAGTCAGATCTCCTGGAAGTTTTTCAATGCCAAGTGTCTTTCTCACAACTGAGAATGTCAGCTTTTTGTTGGCCCTTATCATGTTTTTGTTTAATAACAATTGGATGTCCTTTGAGTTCTTTAAAAAATCAAAAAACATTAAGTTTATTGAAAATTATATTTAAAAATTATATTATACAACCTTTAAGCTTATAATAAAAATTATAAGTTTACTCTTAAGTAAGCTTATCACCAGCATTGTTTTGATTATTAAATTTAAGCTTAAGCTTACATTTATTTGCCTTACCTTACTTCTCCCGATTTTTAGGTAATGCAGGATTTTCTGCCAGGCATTATCTGGAATCCTGGCTTTTAGCTTGGTTAAAACCTGCACCCAGTCGGGAACCCGTAATGACTTATCCTTTAGAGCTAAGACATCTCTCCCCAAGACAGACGCACAACCACCATCCTTTGAGTCGGAGCATATCTCCATTGCCGAGATTATTTCTTCGTTGATGAAATCCTTTACCTTTTCGTCATTGTACTTGCACCCATACCCAATAATATTCCCGAGGGTGTCTGGTTCTATGGCCTCTTTGATCAAATTCACTGATTCATTGCAATACGATACAATGCATCGTTTCTTTAGTAAAGGACCTAGACTGGCGTCCTCGGCGACTTCTTTCAAGTCTCGCGCCGCTTTACGCTTCTTGGTCGATGAACCGGCTACTGGTGTAGCGTAAAAAAATCCAACTTTGACGTCAAAAGCTGGATTCTTGACGTCTTAGGGGTCATTTTTGTCCCTGCAGAAACCGGCGTCGATGAAGCATTGTTTACATCGTCGATGCCGCCAACCAACTCCACACTATTCACTGCCTCGATAATTTTCTTGAAATTCGGCGATAAAACGAACCCTTTCGGTGCCAGATCGCGTTGCCTCAATAGTCCAGCGCAAATGCCAAACATCGAAGCAACGAAAACATCTTCTTTATCGCGTCCAGCGTCAAAGATTCCCGAAGGAGCGACCTCGCCATTTTCCCGCCAAAGGTCTTTCCTCTTAATTTTGTGTATTTGGTCGGGAAAGCACGAAAATATCTTGTTTGCAGCAAAGCGTACCGGCGGCAAACCACACAGCAAAGTCGATAGTACATACCACCTTACGTTTGAATCCAGACTCGAGCTGAAAACCTCGTTCAATTCCATCGTCAAGATCGTACACGGTTCCACACTGACGCCATTGGACCTCTAGCTCTAGCGATTCGCGCCAAATGTGACGTACGTGCATTTTAAAAGTTTCAAATATCTTTTAATTATTAAGTATTACTAGCACATTTTTGTGTTCCGTTTCCGAAGACCATCCTTAAACGATTAAACGATTACCGTGATTATTTTAGAGTAATGACATATATACATCAAGCGTTGACCGCAATGTTGAAATGTACATAGTGATAATTGGATTATTTCCATAGTAACGCTGAATCATGCGGCGCATTCCTGAGCCGGTCTAAGCTCATCATGAGCCAATGAATTTTGCGTTTTCTGATTCGCCATTATTTGAGAGCGTGCCGTCCAACTCATTACATGTTCATAGAAAGTGACGGGCACTTGCGCCAAAATCAACACGAGTTTGCGGTAATTTTCAACAAGAAGATGAATGCCAGAGTCTTTTTTTCGCAGTGTTTTATAGAGTTGAATGTAGAAAGATCACTTTGCGTCATATTGTTTCTCTTGTTATCTCGACGTGCTCCTCTGACGTCATAGCGTGCAACCGCTGATTCAAAATCGCTTATTCATATTTAATGGCGGACGGGATTGTTGCTGTCTTTAGCATCAAAACTCAAATGGAAACAGAGCTTTTATGGATCAAACTTTGTTAATTTTTAGTATTTACCGTTATTTCTATGATGTGGAGTACATAAAATCTGTTTTTGAGGCGTGTTATTTTAATAAGACTAGCAATTTTGAAAAGAAAAGCGTATACTTGGACCATTTTGTGCGTATTTCATGCTTTAAAATAAGCGCTTCCCCYGAATAAGGGTCTCCCCCATATAAGCGCCCCGTCTCAGACTTATTCGAGCAATTACGATAGTATGTTTACGATACTGAATCAATGACCTTTCTAACGTCTATTTGCCCAGTCTTGTTTGGGCAAATATTTCAAATTACAAACAAGAAGAAACTTTGTTTATCAATAACAATTATGCGACTTTATTTTCTTATGCTGAGAGGTCAACAATTTGAATTAAAAACGTATTAGATATCACTTAGCGACATTTTGTCTACCACCTTTGATTTTATCAGATAGATTTTTATCGTTTTGAAGTCGTTGCGGAGAGCAGTCAAAAAGAATATCGTATCGTGTGAATAAACTGTTTTGAACAGTACATGAATTAAAGCGAAAGTAATGCATTCTTGCTTTCACTATGTTTTAGAAGTAAAAAATATATAGTCTACGCCATAATTTACGTTCATAATGTAATCATATGATTAGACAGAATATAACATAATCAGTCATATCGTGTTTAAAACCTTTCACTCGTTCTCCTATACGCGCATACATGTGATATCCTGTCTTCAGTCAATTTTCAAAAATAGCTATTCCGACCTCACGCTCCTGGCGCGTCTAGTTGGAATACAAAAAAAATTAAGGTATCAGGGGACTTTCGCGACCGATGGTCAATTAACGCCTCGTAACACACTAACTAATAAAGATACCTTGCTAAAAGTATACATTTTCTAAATGCTGAATAAATGGAGATTCTAACTATGAAACTGCTTTTTGATAAGAGTGAATCGGCTTTTTTAATGGGCATTCAATTTTTTCACCTCTCATAACTCGGCGTTTATATTATCAAGAACATCGTAGTATATCGAAGTTTACAGAACAATGAGTGAGTGAGTGACATATCGTTCCCCTGCAATAAAAACTATCCTATCGCAGACAAACCTATTACTCCAACCCAGACAGATGAACAAAAAATGATTCCTTATCCTTATTTCATTTTAATTCTTCTCTTCTAGGTCACGCAGCCATTTTATGTAGATTTGAAGTTAAGAAGATAAAAGCGCGATTTCTTGTTATTTTATGCCCCTCTCTATGAATTTATAAAGATAGGAGTCTCTAAATTAACAGTTGTGCTAACTGTGTTTGAATTTGTGTAATATGCTGTGGTACGTTTTTCTGTTCATCAATATATTTCAACTGTTTATGAACTAATAGAATTCAATAAAAAGAGAAGTCACACAAGGATTTCACCTTGAGCTCGTGACATAAACAGTAATTGCATAGTTTTTAAATAATAAATTTTCTCTATTTCAACAGCTATTTTCGCTCGTTGAAGATCTCATGTACCAAACAAAAGAGGACATTGCTAAATGAATATTTAACATCGACGTCATGTGAGTACAAAGAAAGGCACTCTAAAAGTCTGATCGAAGACTTTTTCTGTATATTGTCAGAAGTGCCCAACTATCCGTTCTTAGAGAAGCACGCTAATGAAACGCCAACAAAACAGAAAATGATATCGCCAAGGGCTAAGATAATTGACTGCCTTAATTGTGATTGTGAAGACCATATAAGTCCTTTAAAAGACACGTCGGGTTGAACCACCCCTCGAAATCAATCATTGGGGGCGCGCAAAGACTTCTGGTACGAAGCTGGAAAAATCCAAGATGGCGGACCAATTGAAGCATGAGATCAGAAGCAGCATTCTTAAATGGCAATTATCCGTGAAAAGCCGCGACYAAAAAGATGAATTATTCATTAGAGATGTTTTTCGTGAGCTTGACGGCCTCATGGAATTGATATATGAGAAGCATGATGGCTCGTTTGCTAATAARGACTGCCATAAAATCATGGATGTTTGGCYGATGACTAGTAAAGSAATTATTAAAATTCATAAAAGCATCACAAGAAGACTACGAGCTACACCGTSGACATCGTCTCCGTATTTCTGCCAGTTTTCGCATGATCTCCCCAATRAGGTATTTGGTATTATGAAAGACAATATTCTTGAGAGAACAAGTATTGGAATTGTGTCGTCGAGCACCACTGTTCAGACTACTATTAAAGTCACTGACAAGAGAAAAGCCATCTACTTTTTCAACTACATGAATAAGGAAACCATTTTGATCGAAAAAGAGAATTTACTTCGTAAAGAATTCGAAGAGAAGGCTTTTGCTGAAGTTGTAATATCTGATGAGAAGCCAATGATTTTCAAGTACAACAACAACAGTCAAATACTTGTGATCTCTTTTCATTATGGATTCTGGAACACTGAGGGATTGCCACAGCATTAAGGAGACAGTGATGTTTCAAATTTTTAATTCTTTCTATAGACCAACAAGGGTAAAACATTATGTTGKTATCTAGTGGTTTTCATGAAGTCATAAGTTGACTAACTGTACTCTGAAAATAACAATGTTTAAGAGCAAAACAATGCAAATACATATTATTACATGTATACTGTATATGTTGAGTTTATCTAGCTTTTTTCGTGCTTTTCAAATAATGACAATATCCCCTGATCCTTCAAATAAGTGCTGGAGTCTTGGTTTGTCTTCTCTTAAATAATTATCACTATTGTGTACAAAACTACATTACTAATTGACTGGAGCATTTGCAAAGTCTTTAAGACAAGGGGAGACTTTTCTGTCAGCAGCACTCTTCTTTATTGATTTCATCATATCACTGCAGCAGATTTCACAAGCTTCTGACTCTTCACTTGACTTGGGGAGCCCACAGTAACAGTAGTGCTTGTTTGTATTTACTCGATCAGGAATATAAGAATCCTTTCCCTTGTTGCCATTGTAGGTTACACTGTAAGGATCCATTCGCCGTAACCAAATCATACTTACAAATTCATGCCTGAAGACCGTCCACCATTGCTGGTGTTTCCTGCCTTTGCATGAATTTTCTAAGTACTGCTTTAGTTTAATATGTTTGGCCTCTCGACCTATCAAATTATCAATAAATTGCAATAACAATGTTATATTTATGTATAATTTTTTGTGTCTGCATTAACAGTGGACTACAAATTTGCATATGCTTGAACATACATCCATAAACCATAATCATAACCCAATAAATAAACTGGTGTTGAATTGCTATTAACAAGATGTG